TTTTTTTGTTTTTTTGTTGTTATCAACATATTGCCGCGGTATTGACAGTATTCGCAGGCCAACTAAAATCCTGTGTACTTCCGGATATCCCGTTTGTGATAAAACTCTCTCACTTTCCCCCCTCCACCCTCCCCCAGCCTAGTTCGCGCTCCGAAGAGTATCGATCTTTTTTTTTCCAAATCCGTCTTTAGCTAGGCTCGACTTGCGACGCTCTCTCGTGTCTGGTCTACGTTTCTCCCTGAGAATAACCTGCCTTCAGGGGAGGAGCGCAGGCTCCTTTCCGAAGAGTGGCTGGTGATCAAGCCTATCTTCAGCAAAAACAGCAAAAGCGAAAATAGCGCGGTATTTACGACATGTACGATAGAGGAGCAGCCTGTGGACTTATTGCTGATGAGGAGATTAGACTAGACACGATCGATGGCCCCTCGGCTACAAATATCACGCTGGCCTGCTGCTTCATTCCCTTTCTTAATTAGTGAGGGAGTGAGAGTGCTTTGGAGAAGCCGCGAGGAGAAGTTGCGTTTGCGCACGAAACGAACTAATCGCGCGCGAGATCCCGCTAGCTATCGGTTGAACAAGCGTGAACTAAGAGAACGACAAATATGCGATCTTTGAACCTCGTGCGTGACCGAGTCGCTTTACATTATCAAATTTATTTTTCCACAAAGATTTGCCTTTTTATTTTATATTTCTATTAAATACGAAATTAGGTATGTTCACGTCGAGTCGAACATTAAAGAATAAGATAGATTCGGAAGGAACAGCAGACATGTCACGTTTTTGCTATCACATTTATAGTCACTGCCGTTAGTTTAGGGGGAAGGCATAGAGCGGTCTTAAGATAATGCACATTACGAGAAAGGGCCATTGAAATCAGGCACAAAAGATTATGCTGTTGGTCACTGATTTTTATAACATTTGGTGGCTCCTAAAGGAGCCGTTTGTTTTGGCGGGAAATCCACAAAGCGAGTTTACTTGCAACTATCCCCCGCGACCCGCACTGAATAGACACTCCCTCTGGCGCTATAGTAGAACTAAATTTGCATCCGAGACCCTCCCAGGCCATGTAGGATAAATACAAATACAAATACAAATTTTATCGTCAGCTCCCCATGGGGGCTTTTCAGAGACAATGTAATAGATAATTAAAAGAAAAAAAA